ATTTAACAAATAAAGAAAAGCGACGGGAGAGTTACATTGATAAACATAGAAAAACGTATACAACATGAACAGAAGGGAAAAAAAGAAAAGAAAAAACAGACGAAGATTAGCAAAGGTGTTGCTGGACGTTGAACGTTGACTGATCAAGAACAGATGGCCTCTGAACACCGACGTAATAAAATAAAATATCAGAACTATTCAACAAAAAACAGAAGAGAAAAAAGAAGAAGACTTGCAAGGGTGGGGTTGGACGTAGAAAGTTGACTAACCAAGAACTGTTGGCCTCTGATCAGCGACGTAAAGAAGTAAAATATCAGATTACAGGAAGCGCTCCGAAAGGATTAGTAGTCGTTGTCGTCAAAAAATGACGTCATCAACAATATCACCTTATATTTGTTTATACACGGGGGTTAGTTTAGCGTCTTACTCAAGATTTTAAAACGCAAAAAACCCACTTCGGGGGGTTGGGATAATAGTTCTCCAAGCATGTCACCTGCCTACACATATTCTCTATTAGCTGAATGCTTTCTTCTTTTTAGCTATCTTCACATTTACTCCAGGTAGAACGATGTTGGTATAGTATAGCGTAATAGCCGAGTGATGTTGGCAATCTGTAGGTGAGGTGATGTAAGAAGAGAGTTGAAAGTTCAGTAAATCTTATTGGTACGTAGATTTTGTATTTTGTGTGAATTTTTAGTAATATACTGTTATTTAGCGTTCGTAATTATGAATATTGCTTGAAATTTTTAAACATCACGGCATCTTATGAGTTTTATTTGATTAAATGTTTAAAGTAATTAGCCAAAATGCCATGTGGTACTGATCCATATGGAAAAAGTAAGAAACCGATATTGTCATTCTCGCATTAAAAATTCGACTTTGGAGGTTTACGATTCTAGTCGTTGCAGAGGAGAAGCTGCTAATGGGTGAAAATGTAAGGAAACGTTTGGTAATTGTAATTAAATTTTTAATTGAATGTGAACTAATAATTAAATTTTTAATAGAATACGAACTAAGGATTAAGTTCACACTTTGCAGCTTTACCTGTTCTTTATTATGATGCACAGTAATAGTCAGTGGAGTAACAGAAAAGTTGAAGTAGGAAATGTAGGAAGATGTTCTCATAATTTAATTTGATACTGGCAGCTAACTTTTCAGACAACTTAGATCACTATTGCAGCATGCAATTCTATGGCAGGAGTAATACAATTTCTTGTTTTGTAATTTACTTAAGTCTGTGTCATATGTATAGTGCCATGCATTCTTAATCTTGGCACTAGGTGAAAGTGAGTTGTTAGCTTCAAACCCTGGCCACTTTATTCTCCCCAAAATAATCTCCAGTACTTATTGGACAGGAGGCTGGGTGTTCCTCATTGCTAATCTGAATTCGAATTAATTACATTCCATAGTTCCTTCATAGTACAAGCCAAGGATGTGGAATTTGTCGTAATGTGAATATGATGAGTTGGCAAACAGAAAAATTTTACCCTGCCAGGATTCAAACCCTAGTTGTCCAACCAGTAGTCTAGTCTGTAAGTACAAACTGTGTGAAGTTTGGCAGAAGATGATGTTTTGGATGCATGCTGAAGAGACTCTGTATGTTGTCATTGTATTACAGAGTTGTTCAAAAAGAAAAAGCTCTTCTGCAAAATTATCTGTCATATATTCAAAGAAAAGTATTCAGTTTTGGGTGGTTCTTAACCGCAGCACAGCTTATATTTTAACTTTCTTAAATTCTGTATATTTAAGAAAATATAATGACACTTCAATGATAGATTTTCCAGTTTATGTGAATTTTTATTGCTTGCTTCTGTCATGACAGTACAACCTAATATTAAAATCAGAAAATAATGACTCATTATAAATGCATATTTCAAGGTCATGGAGAAATTAAAATTTACAAACCACAATTAAAAATGTGTACTTCATTTGAATAAATCTTCCCACTCCTGTTTTATGACTTTATGGCTTAAAATATATGTTTGTATATTTCATTCTTAGGATTGTTCCAGTTTTGTGAAGCTGAAATCATGAACACATCACTGACTGCAAAGGAAATTCGCAAAGCATTCATTGATTTCTTTATTCAAAAGAAGCAACATGAATATGTTCATTCATCATCAACGATTCCACTGGATGATCCAACTCTGCTTTTTGCCAATGCTGGCATGAATCAGGTACAGTTTGTGATAAGTGTGAGTCTGCAATAATGTTTACAAGAATAAACAGATGTTAAGAAGTTCTCCCATAACATGAATCAGAATATGCTCAAGTATGTAAAGAATTTCAGTTTTTTTGAGATTCTAATGAGAGAAATTAATTGTATTGGTAGCAGAATATTAGTTGTATCCCAAGACCATGTTTTAATTTTTGTAATTTTACTGTTGCAGTTCAAGCCAATTTTCCTGGGTACTGTTGACCCCAACAGTGATATGGCAAAATGGCTAAGAATTGTTAACACCCAGAAATGCATTCGAGCTGGTGGCAAGCACAATGACCTGGATGATGTTGGAAAGGATGTGTACCATCATACGTTCTTTGAAATGTTGGGAAACTGGTCCTTTGGAGACTATTTTAAGGTTGTGAAATTCTCTTATATTCCTCATTAGTTCAGAAAATTAGGTCAAATATTATCTTGAATCTTTCATAGAATCCAAAGTGACAAGATCTTTTCAGGCAAACAGCCATGTGAGTTCATAACAAGGATGATAATTATTACTGCTAATGTTCCTTCTGAGTTTGGCTTTGCTAATTCTGTGCTGTGTGCTGCGATATAATTTCCTTTTCAGTCAGAGATTTGTGAACTGTGGCCATTATGAAATTTATATGCCAGATTTTACCTTTTGACAAATTTGATAGGTCAGTAAAGATATTTCATGTGTGTGTGTGTAGATGTTGATTTTACATGCCTGGTAACTTGCATTATAAAGGTATGTTTTGTTAAGTAGGATTTAAGGTTCTTGTAGTGGTGAAGTTTATCAGACCACACAGCACTAGAACCCATAAGAAAGACATCTTCATATTTTTTGTCTTGTTCTCTACAAAGACGTAGCAAACCCAAGGGTGAGAATTTTATGGTGAATATGGAGATTATGTAGGTGTTCAGTATGCAAAGGGACCAGTAAAGAAGATGAAAGAGATAAGTACAGAGATGTGGTATGTGGTACATGACACATGAAAATGATAAAAAGTATGGTAATAGAAAGCTTTCTGTTCATCCTTCCATCAGGACATGGATTGACCTCGTGATTACACAGTGGGTTCTTAGCAAAAGATGGATTTATTTCACACTATTACAGGTACAATTGATTATTTTCTGGATAATACATGACATTTCACAAATCACAGTCCTGATTATCTGGGTATAAATGCCTTTTTGTACACTAACAAAGTTTTGGTTTCCGTATGCCAGTAGATAATGTAGCCACTCATTCAGCACTTCACAATCCGTGACTTTTGCTTTTACTTCACAGTAAACTCAAGACTGACTCGCTTATCACTGCAGCAGTAGGGTGGCTCTGTGCCTGAGCTCATATTTATAGTACATGTAACTCTTGCCAGATGTCTACAGTTGTTTTCATCAGCATTGAGAGATATTACTCTTTCTCTCAGCCTGTCAGTACAACCTGTGATGTTACTAATGTAGTTTCTCTTATTCTTTGCAGAAAGAGATTTGTACATGGGCTTGGGAACTTCTCACTCAAGTGTTTAAACTCCCCGCTGACCGTCTTTATGTAACTTATTTTGGAGGGGATGAATCTGCTGGTCTAGAACCTGATGAAGAATGTAAACAAATATGGATCAGTTTAGGGTATGTTTATTGATTATAATGTGTTGGGGTATTAACTCCTATAATTCATTGCATGTGGGTATAGAATGAATTTAAGATATGTAACAGTTGTAATAAAGATTCAGTGCTACATAAACTGCAATTTATAGATAATAAAATAACCTGGAAATTAGTAAACAATCAGTATAGTTTGCTCAGTGACATTACTGTTTATTAAAACCTAGATACATATACAGAATGACTTTATTATAATGCTTTAAGACCCTGAATGTTCAATTGTAGTTAAGGATATTGTTTAATTTTTGTTATTGCTCCAAACAGATATTTTCAACTCTTGCTGAATGAACATGCAGCTTTCAGTATTCTTTTTTTGTTACAAAAATGAAATAAATGCTGGAGAGTGATAAAAGGAAATGGTTCTCTTGTAATTAAGTAATAAATGTCAGCTTTACAGCATTTGTAATATCAGTTGAGAAATGGCAGGGTCTTGATGTGTGGAGGATTTGGCATGTTTTATGGAATTGTCTCATAATTTATCTGGCTATATTACGGAAAACAGTGGAGAATCGTGGGCAGTGTTGCTGAGCAATTTAAACCGTGGCTCTTTTGTGCACAAAGCAGCATGCTAATCACTATGCTGTGACATACAGTAATATAATTGCACCATGTTAAAATATTCTTTTAATGTTTCTCTGTGTTTGGTATTAAATTGTTGCTTTCATCTCTGTTGTCTCATTGTTAAAATTACCAAAATTTGTTTTAAATTGATTTCCTTCTTAAATGAGGATTTCACCAAACAGTGAAACTCTGTTTAAGGTTTTCCTGGGGAACATGCATTGAGAAAATTGAGAAAAACCTTAAATGGGAGTTACGTCAGAATGATAGAGAAAATTACTTCTTTGGTTATAAAAACACTTGCAAAACTATAAGATTTGCAGGATATAATTGTATTTTAGAATAAATAAAGTAAGGTACAACTATAACAAGAAAAAGGAAGCATGCATATATATGTACGTAGCAGATATGTTATTTCTTGAAATAATCCAAAACCAGTACTGCAATTCATACATGGAAGTTCAGAATGGGTTCACAAACACAGCCTTCCAATTTTACTGTCAACACATTGCAGAGTTCCTCATTAGGCGTTTATGTACTTTCTTTATTTTCAGGGTATATAATCTTTTAATGTTTTTCAGCCTCCCACCTTCTCATGTATTACCTGGCAACATGAAAGATAATTTCTGGGAGATGGGAGAGACTGGCCCTTGTGGTCCTTGTTCAGAGCTGCATTTTGATCGGATTGGTGATCGTGATGCAGCTTACCTGGTGAATCAAGATGACCCTGATGTACTGGAAATTTGGAATCTTGTGTTCATCCAGTTCAACAGGTAATGCTGTGTAACATAGACTGTGAATATGATTCATACTTAGCAAGTGATATTGTCATGCTTATGTACTAGAGAGTGGGAAGTGAGTGATTGCAGAGTTACTCTGTGCGTCACAGGTCGAAAGACTAAAGTAATAGCACATATGAATAAATGACCCAAAATGATTACACCATGTTTCAGGAGCTGGCTTTGCTACCATCTTCACTTAAAAAACCTGTTCTGTTGAGTCCGATAGATGGGGCTAATCCCAATCCCTATATCACACAGGATAGGCATTTTCACGTGAAGATGGGAGCAGAGCCAGCTCCCAGAGCATAGTTGTCTTGTTGTAAAATACTGAATGATGGATCAAGTCCAGAAAAACTAATTTTGAATTTGTGACCATATGTACTTATGCCAGCTCTAAATTTTTTGTTTTGTGTTGCAGTAAATGTAAACATAGTTTTTTTTCTTTCCCCCCTCAGAGAATCAGACTGTAGTTTGAAGTCGCTTCCCAAGAGGCATATAGACTGTGGATTGGGACTGGAGCGACTGGTTTCTGTCATCCAGGAGAAACGTTCTAACTACGATACAGATCTGTTTCTGCCTCTGTTTCATGCAATTCAGAAAGTAAGTACATTAATGTTTTTATGTACTTATATAAGAATGTGTGGGAAAACTCAGATAATGTTAAATATCTCATGTTGTTTAACATCATATGGTCCAAGGGTATGTTATGTTGATTTCCTTAATTGTTTGTTGTGATAATACCTTTGGAATTACCACAATTTTTCTTCCATGAAGGCTGGAGTGCCCTTGTGTCTTGATTGGGTAATAATAATATTTTTTATTTAATTGGATGTATATTACGTTCCTAGACAGTTCAGCTCTTGAAATTTTAAAACATTCATAGTATGAAAAGTTGAATAAACAGAATTTCAAAGAGCATGCTAATATAAATAAATTTATGCAGTCTGATAAAGGTTTAGTACCAGCAGAATATATCACAAAGAGTTTTATCTGGCAGTGGTTCAGAACTAGTTTTAAATTATTGCAATTCACACCAACACATTAGTCAAATGAGTCATTTTGAAGCTTGGTGCACTGAGCATTGGCCATATGGCAGGATCACAATTGCAGTGTTGTGTGTGTTGAGTCAGGAAGACACAAGTGGCTACAAAATGTTGGTGCTCTTAAGTGCAAAGCATGTACTCATGTATTATAGGTTCCATACATATGTAAAGTGATGGAAAACATTTGCAGAAATTTAGGCTCTGTACATTTGGATTTATGTCTTTTATTTCATGAATCTATAAATTTTTAACAAATTTTTATGAAAATAAAAATAGCAATATAGAATTTGGCAATAAGCCTATATTTTATTTTTAAAAACCTCTTTTTTAAACTAATTTAGCAGAATAGTCTTATAGATGTAAAAGATTTCTTCAGTACTTAGTACTGTTACTGGTTAAACCCCCCAAGTTCAAATCCAGTCACCAGTCCTGTAGTGTGGGGATTTAAATGCCTTATTCCTGTACTAT